ATATTGACTTATGAACATAACTATCAAGTTGCTGAGGAAGTYTCAAATAGAGAYGAAACGTTCAACGGATAAATATAGTGTTCATCTTAATTAAACCCGTCCAAAAAACAACTTCCCTAAGAGTAAACTTTGTAATAATAATAATATATTTAGTAGTAGAAAATACTTGCAAGTGTCAAAATTTAAACAAAAAATATATTATTAATTCTTTGATGCATTGAAAAATTAAACAAATTGGATCAATAGATCCATTTCAAACTGTTGGTTACAGTGAACAATAATTTCAAAATGTTAATTATACATTAATTAATTGTTCGTTTATTCTGGAAACAAACAGGTATGGGCACTAAGGGTGTTAACTAAAATTTAATTGAATTACACGAACGAATTTTACTTTACAACCAAAAAATAATGCCACGTTACAAAGTTTTCTATGTATACAATTTTTTGTTTGTTTCTTTTTTTTAACAAACTCAAATTATTCTCAAATAATGCAAAATAATAATAAACTTGGAAAAATAATATAACAATGTAAAAATAAAATTTCGTAATATAATTTAAAGAGACAGATAAGAGTTGATATATGTTTTTAAAACAAAACAAAACAGTGTCGCCACTTGCAGTCATTTCTACAAAGACTCTAATTAATTTTATGAAAAAGAAAGAAAAAAAGAAATAAAAAATTACAAAACAGGGTAAACATAATTAAAAATAATTATAATATCATCGATTGTGTGTATATCATTTGACCATTTCGAACAAATTATTCGTGAAATTCGACGAGAAATTAAGAAACAATTTTCGATTTTTTTATTCGATGTTGATCGAACGTAAAAAAATAAAAATCAGAGACAGAGAGAGAGAGAGAGAGAGAGAAAAAGTAAGTAGAAGTATAGAGAGTTCACAAACAAGTATTGAGAGTGGTCAACTATTTTTGTCATGGACAAGTTTCGATAGTGCATTATGCGAAGTTCAAGTGGGAATAACGGTGATAGCAAAAGTTTGCTAACTAGGCGACCCTTCAAGCCAGTTTCTGTCTCTCTCTCTCTCTCTTAGTCTCTCTCTTTCCTCTCTTCTTTCTCTTTCAATCATATAAAATGAGATTCTGTTCGTGACACGGTGTGTACAGAACTGTTAAATAATATTTCATTCAATTAACCCGATTTCATTTTATTATATATATTTTTTTTATTATATATTTAACAATTATATAATTAAATTAATAATTAATAAATATAATAAATTTTTAGAAGTTTTCTAATCTTTTTGGAATAATTAAAATATTAATTTTGTAAACAATTTAATATCGATCGAAATGATAAAAAGAAACACGTGGGATGAGTCTATGGGAAAGTTAATCAATGATTCATGGTGTCTCTATGATGTGAGATATTTTATAATTTGTAAATTCATTCGTAGATATACTTTGAATTATTTTATTCTATATAATAGATAGATTCACTTTCAATCATTGACGAATTACTTCGTAGATACATCACAGAATCATTGAATTCTTGTATTCGTAGATTTAATCATTGATGTACTATACCATAGATCTAATCGAGAATTATTGACAAATATTTTCATAGACTTATCATTAAAAAATATTTAATAAAAAATATATTGAAATAAAAAAGTCTGTGTGGGATTCAATTATCAGTATTGTTAACATAACAAAATGAAACTTAATTATTTATTGTAAAATTAAATAAGAAACAAATGAATGAAATTGATTTGAATTGAAGTGACAGTATTGTGTCAAAATTTGTGTATAAATAATATAACAATATTTTAAATATTAAAT